AGTGCTTGTTTAGAAGAATGCAAGTAGTGAAGACTCCTAGCATAGCTCCAACAGCACCAGGACTGTCAGTGTGCCCCAGCAAAAGATGGCATGTTTGGCATTTACAATGAAAGTAGCTACATTAGCAGAGTTGCTCAACTAGACAAGTCCTGAAGAGTTAAAAACAAAACGGGCCCTCCATATACAGCAGTGTCCACTACCACATTACATTTGAGAAGCTACTAAGCACAGTTAGATTTCCACCCTCCAACCAACCCTTTGGGCTTCTCATAAACAGTTAAAAAAAAAAAAAAACAAAACTTCCAAGAATCAGACATACCACAGCAACAATGGACTTGGGAGCAGGCAGGGAAAGGAAGTAAGTGGTGACCACTTCTCTTATGATCTGGATCCAGAGCCTATTAAAAAAGTATGCAGAAGGGCTCCTACTGCCTGCAGTTGGGTGTGGATGAGGCAGAATGAGCTATTTATTCATGCAAACAGGCACCTTGAGATTTTACATAAAGTCTCAAATCCACTGAGCACCGAGATACTTGTGTCAGAGGCAATGCAGAGGCTTGCTGGTTAGGCAGTCAACTGAAGTCACTTAGGATTCAGTGCAGCATCAAGCCTAAAAAAAAAAAGTGTAGCCCAAACAGTGTTTACACCATTTTGCTCAGACTCATGTTTACAATCAGTACTAACTAATCCCAGATTCAGATACAATGTGGGGCTCATTTCCTTCCATTTAAAACAAAAAAACACCACAAACAAACAGCATCTACATCATCTTATAATGCAAGACAGGATAGCCCTAGCTTACTCCTCTAATCCTTCCAATTGCTTAGTCTAACTGCATTCCCTTTGTTTTCCATAACAGCTATCCAGCTGTACAGCAAGTCATCTTTGTTATTCTTTTTCTGGCTCCTTTCTAGTGTCTGTTGACAAGTAAGCAGAGCCCACCAAAACCCTTGATCCCACTGGCAGCATAACCAATTCCAGCTACACTGCAACAGGATAAATTAAAAACAGACAGACAGTTTCCCTCTTGTCCACTATCTCCTTGTTTTTCCAAAGGAATAAACATCATGCAGTAATTTCCCCCTGGACATTTTAACTCCAGTGTCTTGTAGACTCCCACCACCACTCCCCTCCTTTCCCCAAGTGACAGTAGGTTAGTTTCATGCTTTCAAGAAGGTGGTGCAACTTCTTACGAGGAAAAGCATTTACAGTGTAACCAGCTTCCCAGCCAAGACAGTTCACATTTTGCTCAACAGATCTTGATTATAGGCTTCCTTAGGATGCATCTTTCCCTGCATCTGATCAGGAATTAGACTTTATGGAGCTATCATACTTATATCAAAAGTGAAAAGGCAGCATTAATTAGGTGATTAAATTATGAGTCATGTCAATCAGTGGGAGCATCAGTGCCTAGTCCCTAGACCCCTCTCTTATTTAGGGATGGGCCACTCAGCCTCCTCTCAAATAGAAGAAATCCCTATTGCCAGTACCCTTTAGACTTCTTAAACCAAATTCAAAGTCTTTGAAAGCGGTATAAACTTTATGCCTAGCTAAACTGTTCTACTCCCCAATGTATGTTGTATTTGTGGAGTTACTCTATTACTTCAATAAGCAATGAGAGCATCTCTAGATTAACAAAAAAGTATCAGTATATGCTTTGCATAGGATATGGAGGAACACTTCATGCTTCAGGGGACTGTATGAAGTGGGTGATGAAATCTTGAAGGCTTATGCCTCTAGATCCTGTTTAGCTGAATTGATTATAAAATACTGTTTCTCAGTATGCCTTGTATGTAGCAAACACAAAAATCTCAGCAGTATCTCTGCCTGTATGCAGAGTCAGGCTTTGGGAGAAGGGACAAAATGTGACCCCCTAGATGCCCAAACTCATCATATCCCCCAAGAACCTTCCATGTGCACATAAGAGCTGGCCAAAAATGTTTCTATTATTGTTATTAAAAGTAATAAGATTTATTTGAAAAGAAATGTCCATTTAGAGACCTATTCCAGACCATTAATAAGTATCAACATAACTGACAGTCAGACTATGCCACCAGACATCCTGTATTGAGTGTTTATACCTTTGTGCTATAAATTAGTTTCTACTAGCAATTAGTAGTAGAAGTTTCCATAAAATTTTTATAATATTTAAGGAAAAACCCCCAGCACTATTCAGTTAGATCAACCTAAAAACTTTCAACAAGCAGTTTTGCATTCTCACCATCTCTTCTCCTTCCCCCATCCCACCTGCTTTTTGGGATGGAAGGGCAAGGGGAGAGAGGAAGAAAAGTTCTTCTTTTCCCCCCTAGCTTTATCAGAATCAATATTTTATTAGTTGGGGGAAGGAATAAGAGTTCCTCCCACCCACACCACACTCTCTGCTAGAAGGGTAGTAGAGTACAGTTTCTGCACCAAGACATGGAGACAAATCATTAAGTCCCCTCAAATACTGGCTTCAGTATTAAGCAGCATGAAATGAAAGCAGCCTGCATTAGTCTGGTTGTAGAGAGACTCCATACAGAGCTTGCCAGGTATTCCTGCTACACCGCAGTTGGAAGCCTCTACTCAGTTGAGATAGGGAGACAAGAGCCCAGCCCTGTGTTACACACTGTTTTGCACTATCTGCTCTTTAAGACAGCAGGCATCTCCAAGTGAGAGAGAAACCAAGTGGAAGCTGGAAGAGCAATGAGCTCTGAGATGAGGAGAGTTTGATGACCTGCAGCTGCTGCTGCCACCAACTTTGCATCTGGTCCTCCAATCTGGCTAAGGGTGGGAAGAGAGATTTCCTCTGGTGCTCAGCTGCATAGCTTTAAAAGACATCAGCCATGGTGCTTGATGGTCATGCCTACAAGATTCAAAATTCAGCACTACCAAGTAATGGAGGCCCTTTAATTGGCAGGCATCTGCTCAAAGTAACAGTAAAACAGACCCAGGAGTGTGTTGGAAACGACTCTGAGTCAAGTGTCAAAAAAAAAAAAAAAACAAAAAAAACAAAAAAAAAAAACACACAGCTCGAGGGGAGGCTTCTCTAGACTTCATTCTAGCAGAACTGAACTGCTTGAAAATGCAAAGGCAAGAAATGGGTGACTGATAATAAGCTTGCAATTCTTAGGAAGGAGGGCAATAACAGAAGACAGACTTTGGACTGAACTGGTGGGCAAGATCCCATTGGCAGGTAGTCTAATGCAGAAAGAGTTTGAGAGATTTGGCAAGTTTAAAGGAAAATTAAGACACAGGCACAAAAAAAGTACTCCAATGTGAAGGAAAGTATAGCAACAGAGACCAGCCCAGCTTTTTAATGGACTTGCAATTAATGAAAGGCTCAGTTATTAAGGATGAATAAGATGAAGAATGAGGTAAAGAGCGTGAAGAACAGCAAGAGCACATGGGACCAAGAGTCAGAAAGGCCAGAGTTCAAGCAAAAATGCAACTAGCTGCAGTCACTGAGAAGGAATAAGACATTCTACCAAAAAAAAGTTAATCAAGGGAAGAGCAGATCCGTTAATCACTACTCAGTGAGGAAGGAAAGCTAATGAACACCAACTTTGTCAGCAACATCTGACAATGCTCCTTTTTTTTTTTTTTTTGCCTCAGTAGTCATTGAGGCTAACTGACTGGATGACTAATGCAGTTAGCATCAGCAAGAAGTCAGGCTGGAATGGGGAAGAAACAAGTCTTGAGAAAG